TGTCCTGGGAGAAAGACGCGCTCGGACGTGAGAACGGAGCTGATCGAGGGCAGATGAATGTGCGACAGAGTCATTGCCCAAGAAAGACCACAGACGTGGAAGAGAGCGTGGTTTGGGTGACCAAGGAAAAGAATGTGGGGCTTTGTGCTGTTGTAGGGCAATGAGAATTGAAGGTGGCGGAAGAGTTTGAGAGTGAAAGATGCAGGGTCCTTGGTCGACTCATATTTATACGAGTGGGAATGCCGGCAAGGCATGCTTCGAAAAAAAACCGCCTGCGAACCAGCTTGACCTGTCCAAGACGTGACCCGAAATGAACACCGCCCACGAAACTTACAACTTGATTGGGACCCCAATATTCTCTCTGCATGGACGGCGACCTCCTTTGGATACGGTGTTATACCGAGGACCGAAAGTGCAACACGGGAACATACTTGCTGCTGCCACATTATCTGGCGTCTTGGCGCCTTTGCGTTGAAATGACCCACGAAACCGGCCAACTCAAGAACGAAATTCGGAGGCCCTACATGCCGATGATTAGTCGATATCAATGGTACCCGTTTGAGCAGCAGCTGCACTTGCCAAAGCGGTTGTGACTACGTTTCGTCAAGAGTTCTTCTCACTTCCTTCTGCTTGGCGGTTCTGCACTCTCCGGTTCTTTGCGAAGTGTAGACGAGACTCCTGCACACTTATTCAGCATGGAAATATGGCAGTGGCGCGGTATTCCAAGTAGGTCGATATTTATCGCCTGGCTTTTGGGGCTGAGAAATTTATCACCTTAGAATGAATCACGAGTTCAACTCAAGAGTACGCCTTGAATCCAGCAGACATAGTTCTAACAGCGAAACCCATAAAGCACTCTTAGCCACTCATTTGCTTTCTTGGACTCGCGACGCCCGACGAGGAAGGGCGTGATGCCTCAGTCACACGTGTCACGGAGGAATTGACAGCGAGACGCGAGAGCGGTGAGTCAGAGGTTTCCCATCTTTCCGTAAATCTCCCATGCCAATGCTGATGATTAAACCAGAAAAGACGGTTCCCGAGTGCTTGAAGAGTATGATGTGATCCAAGAACCCACTGCAACCCTCGTGTGACGGCGAATATCCGACAAATAGGCTCTCTGAAGACAGGGAGATGGAAGAGTTCCCCTCAGAGACAGGGCGGTGATGCACAGTGATACAGCCTGACAGAGACCGGAAAGAAAGCAAGCAAGAAGCATCCCGAGCGCGCAGGAAGCAGCACCAGAAGAGATCGGCCCAACTGGATTTGAGGTTACTACCGCATAAACTGGCAACGCAATTTCTTTAAATACCTGCGACGACTCCAGTGACCAAAATATGGCTCCCCAAGAGTGCTCGAGGAATTAATCTGGGGTTCTGATGCACTTGACTCGGTCCAGCTGGTCGATCGGCACAGGCACTGTTCACCAACGGTTGGATCGATGATCCATGAAAAAGCGCCTTTCTCCAGGAGATCTGTTATAAAGCCCACTCGCAAGACTGAGAATTCTCGGGGCCTCATGATCGCATTTGTCCTGCTTGGATGATCGGTTTTTTTGGACTGCCAGCGATGTCACTGGGGGGTGTCAAATCTCCGCCTTGGATTTCAGTTTAAAAATTCCAGTGTATTGCTAGCAAATACCGCAGGGGTCCCAGTCAGAATGTGGTTGTGGTCGCGTAAATGGATCTTCGACGAACCTCCGCTGGGTTTATGTCGGTCAACGAGGGACTTTTCCTGCTCGAACACAAATACAACCGGAGAACGAGTTTCATAGTGTTTACGAACGGCGAGAAGCTCGCAAAAGGACATTGCTATGGTCGCCGTGTTGCTGAACGGTAAAGGGATGTGGGGAATTGAGGAAGGAGGGATCGCCACGCTCGCGGCAGGGCGCGGCGGTGTTTCAAACGGCGTCCAATTCCAATTCAACTTTCAATCCTTTCAAATTTCCCCCGCCTGTACGAGCCATATTTGCTAGTCAAATAATCACCCCCTTTTCAATTTGTGCCACGCAGAATTGCCAATTGACGAATTCCGGCAGGCTTGGTGGCCTTCAGCTTCGAAGCCTCAAGCTCAAGTCAAGATCCACCGTTGCAAACGTTCAAAGTTCAACCTCGACTCAAATTCAAAGGGCAACGTCGCCAAGTATCGAACAAAAATGGACCACGCAACTCATGATCATGCTACTGGAAAGAGGCTCTATAGCTAGAAAACCGCAAATTTGCCATATGTCTATGGAATTGGAACGATAATGAGCGGAACGAGCCTTGGCCCCACGTTCCCTCCAGGGATCTCAGGATCCGGATTTTACCCCCTACTCGAACCCCAAGTCTTGAGCATTTCATGATCACGGAAATCAGCTACTCATCTTGGAATTCACTGCCGGGCCATGAGCTTTTTTTGGACATTGAGAACAGCGCATGGAGGAGGTCACAGGTGCCTGTGCGTTTCCCTTTATATTTCCCTTTTTCGCTGTGCTGACCCGACTCCGACCAGCAAGAAATAATTCTAAACGCCTGCCCCATTTCATTCTACGTTGTCGGTCCATCCGAGGTCCATTTTTACCTCCCATATTCATTAATGCTCTCATGGAATAGCTCGGGCGCGTCCTTGTTCCAATCCCCAGGTTCTTGCCTGTAATCCTTACCTCAAGGCTTCTCTGACGTTCATCATCGCATCAGGAAAGTTTCCAGAAATCGCCGCCCATTGTGCGACACCGAAGCCTGGCCCGCCGGCCCGCGCATTGTTTGACGCGTGATGTCATTTTGTCGCTATGGTGGCATGGCCCAACTTGAAGCAATATAAAATGAACCAAGAACAAACACTCTTTCTTCTTCACTACCACATACCAGCTCCCCGTTTGTATTTCTCCCAACCCGAAACGCGTCAAAATGCCCCGAGGTGAGAATGATCATGATCTATCCCATAATGACGTTATCCATTTCACCCGCCTGGTCAACAGGAACGAAACGCGCATCAGAGGATGAACCGACCGAGAGTGCTTCACGCGTAACCAAGGTGTCAAAGACCGCGAAGAGCGGTAATGCAGCCAAAGAGAAAGGAGCAGCCAAGAACGGCACCCAGAAGTCCAAAGCACCAGCTAAAGTGAGCAACACGAAAATTCTACCTTGATTTAAACTGCAAATAACCGAGGACTATTACCATAGCCCGTCCTTTCACTCGCAGACTTCAAAGCCAAAGCGCTCCCGCTTCACCTTAACCTGACACACACACCTCCCAGCATCACAAAAGAAGGAGACATCGACGACGAAGGCAAGGAGGTGGGCCAGACCGACAACGCGGCCGATGTTGGGTTCATTGGAAACCTGACCTTGGTCCCGAGCTCATTCAGCACGGGTAGCTATGGTTGGAAAGGCAGCAAGCGGATGACCGTGGAGCTCCAAGCTGGCAACGAGGAAGGGGAAGGAAGCACGAAGGAGAAGGTTGTGGTTATGTTCACGTACGTTTTTGTCGTAATCCATTCTGAGAATTCCGTTTTGATCGTCTCTCATTCCAAATGTTAGCGTCAATGCAACGGTCCTTGGCAGCAAACCTGCGAAATCTGGGAAAGGGAAGAAGGGAAAGAAAGAGGAAGAGGAGGAAGAAGAAGAAGAAGAACCCGATGTTGATGAGGTTGAGGAACCTGTCGAGGAAGAGTCATGAACGTCCCTCCATTTCCTGACATACTTAACCCGTTTACGACCTTTATGACAACTGCTATCATGTGGTATTTTCTCGTGGGCATCAAACCCCTCTGTACTCGACGTCCCATTTTTGTGCTATGAGGCATCCAAGAATTGTATCGTGTGTCTTCGATACCGAATGTATATGTCCTGCGCATGCCATTGTACCCAACGTTGTGACATCCAATTTCCTCTTGTGTAAAGATAAAGAATTAGAGGAGATAAGCGCCGGTTGCGCCTCAGCGCGCTTGCTAAATTTCATCAGAATATTCAATCCTCAAGCTTGATGGGAGAAGGGTGACGGATTCAGAATCCATATTATCTATTTGACGTGGTCATTATGGCATTATGCATAAGTGACCTACGAGGCATCAATTGCAAAATCTCGAGGAGTAGACAACAATTAGCTTGGATTTGGTTTGGTCAGAAATTCTTGGCCGGTTGAATCAAGCTGCCTGATTGAGCGAGAATTCGAAGAGTAGGGCCCGCAATAATCTCAAGTTCGAATTCTACGGTGCAGTGCGTTGCTGATCATAAATTCTACGTCGAACTAGCGTCCAGCAGGCGCCATGGGTAGGGCAAGGATAGGATTGTCCCTGATGCACAACTCTCCATATTCTGGCTGGGCTCTACAGAAGTCCGCGTCCAGGTCGTCCAGTTTACGAGCAACTGCCTCTCGTTCTTCCTCAAGCTTTCGCTTTTTCTGCATTGAATTAGACGCAGAGTCCGTTTTAGAGGTCAATCTCGGGGGTGATTTGGCGGTTAAAATTGAAGAGTATAATAGGATGCTTTGGATTCGGTGAGCTACAAATCATCAATGGAATTCTGCAATAGATACCTGTAATCGAACAGGTCCAAGTGAGTGATCATGAGGGTATTAAGTATAGTATTTCGATTGAAGGGCGTTGTTACATAATTGTGAGATCTTGTATTGTTCGATTTTAGAATGCGGGGCCTTGTTTCATCGCCTGGTCAACGCCTGGTCTCTTTAGCCACATATCCTTGAGCTCTATTTGTCATCCCTGCTTCTATAGAGATGGCCAACGGGCCTTATGTGTAGAAATGCGCAAAGTGAAAGAGAAAGTCGGAATTCGTACCTCGCCCGATCCCTTTAACATAGAAAATGTTCAGCCATCCATATTTGTGAACCCGGCTTCCATCAATGGGGCTCGTAGGCTGATACATGCGACGAAGTGAAAGGGCAGGTTGGATTCGTGGTTCAGTACGACATGGGTCAGCCGTGGTCAGCCCTTGTAAGTAGAAAAACATAATTTCACCGATCCGCGTCAAGTATCATGGGCATTACTCCTTTCCTCTGTATCTGCCTCCTTGGCTCAGTTGGCTAGAGCGCAGGTCTCATATGTTCGTGTATGAGTAATCAAAGATTACGTAATCCTGAGGTCGCAAGTTCGAGCCTTGCAGGGGGCACTCTTTTTGATTGTCTGCACGAGTTGAAGAAATCTATTTTCCTTGCTTTTCCTGCAATTTTGCTGACTGAAAGAAGCTCACATGGTGAAGACGTTAGGCGCCCATGCGCTATTGTTTCTTCACATCGAGAGTAAGGAGTCACTAGTCACTGCCAAAGCTTGCTATTTCCTGATCTCTCTCACTCATGCCCCAAAAGCAATTATTTCCAGGTGATCAATCAGTGTAGCATTAGATTGGTTAATAAGTGTGACGATGATCTGATCAACGAATATCTTCCTCGTACGCCGGCCTCCGTCCCCTCTCTGCTCCAGCGCTTACTTCTCTACGTTCAACACACGAACCATGTAGTGCCACCAAGGCCGGCGGCATGCATATGACTTTGGAGAGCGAAATACAAATAGTTTTATGAGATTCTTTCAGCCAGATAGAATTTGGAAAGGTCGCCGAGTGTGACTACAACCGGGTCCTGTGGGAGTCCTTTCCCTCGACAATGAAATTCAAGCAGTGAATGACTGCATCCTTGTCTTTCGTTGAAACAACTCCTGGAATTGGATCATTAGACTCAAAATCCGAACCCAATCGTGGCGCGCAGTGCATCGGAATATACTACATAGTAGCCACAGGCGAGGCTGACAACTTCGAGGACATCAGTCGAGTAGGAGGGTTCGTTGTCGAACGATCCTTCAAGTGGTTCAATCATCTCGGGCTGAACTGGAGAGTCGGAGCTATACGGGTGTTTAGATCGCCGTCATCAACAGGTTCTGCGTGCGCAGTGGAGGGAGTAGGGATCCCAATCCGACCGAAAGCGATACCATTTGAAAATTCAAGGAACGGAGAGGCGAAGCTCCATTTGAATCCTGACGAGCCCGTTGGTGCGAGGTTAACAGCTACCCTTTGATCGAGGTACTCCAGACGTAAAGCACATAAAGAGGCGGGAAAGACGCCAAGAATGCAAAGCAGTGTGGTCCAGACGAGCAAAACCGATTTTGCCCAAAGCAACATGGAGAATGGAGAAGCGAAGCCACGAACATTATTCGGATAATTCCAAAGCAATGGACCGTGAAAAAGAGGCGAAAGGGGAGGGGACGGGAAGGCCCAAGGTCGTTCAGACCCATTTTTCTCCCGACTACGATAAAGGGAATGGAATTTCGAATCCACGATGGCAATGACCTTTTTGTTGGCGAGGTTCAGCTTCTCCGAGCTCAGGATCGTTGCAATAATTACTCTTCATAGTCCAGGAACGACCCGGACTCATTTTATCCAGGAAGGATATCCGGATAATCATTACAACGGCGGAGACAGCTATTACATTGAACAAACTCACAATTTCGTTAGTTGGATAGTGAACCAGAGCAACAGCAAGGCATACCTTTCTTACACAAGGTTTGAATATTGATTTACAAAATTTCCGGATCCCAAGTACTTCATCACCCATCTCACCGCAATCCTACAATTCATCCCCGCCCCTCCTCATTCTCTGTTTCGGCACCTGCTCCTCCACATGCATTACGCCCTCAGCTCCCTCCAAACCGCGCAGCATACCATCTCTCTTCTGCAGCCACTCGCCCTTGGGTATGCTGTATAGGTGGACGTCGGTAAGCTCGCCAACGTGGCCTTCGTATGTCAGTCCGGGGTGTTTGGACCCAAGAGAAGCGGGGGACGAGAAGAAGGGCGAGGAGGGGGAAAAGGCTAGGGAGAGGTAGGTATGAGTGTTGTGGTTCATGTTGTGCGGCATTCTTGTTGGCGTTATGGTGGTGGAGATGGTATGAGAGATAAATCAATGCCCAATCATTCGGCATGGCGGGCCGCCTTGTGCACCATTCGTGAACAGTGGCTTGGAAGTTGGAACTCTCCAAGTTCACTTCAAAGTTACCGCACGTTATGAAGATGATTATCGAAAGTTCGTATTTTTCTGGGGTTTTCTTCTGGAATGAAGAATGCTGGGATTTTACATGCCCACAGCTTTGACACAGCTTGGTAACATGGAGTCAATGCCTCGTAATCTCTACGTTTCTCTCGCATCTTCAGTTTGTCCCCGTCGTACACTTTCGTCACAGAAGCCGAAATTTTGGCCATTCGAAGAACGTGAACATCACCGGCGGTAGATTCCACAACGTCACCTACAGCGTCCAAACTTCCGCCGAGACAGGTACTTACTTATTCACATCCTCGTTCCATCCTCATATCTCCAAACCTTACTGACGGCGCACATACAGACGTCGAACCTCTTCAGAAGAAGATCTAGTCGTATATCGAATTCCTCCAGAAGAAAATCGCCCCCGGGGCTTTTCACCCATTCAGCTGAGAGGTACGATCCCCCAAAATGCCACGAAAACACAGAGTGGCTATTTTGCAAGATATAATGGGCTGGATACACGATGCGAATATTCACAACCGGGATTTCGTGATTTTATGCCCCCTTCAGGACCTGGAAAGTCAGCAACTGAGCAGACGATAGCCGAGATTTTGCTAGCAGGCGAAATCGTTAGCCCCCAGCTTTTTTTTTCCTCGCAAGATGACATTCCTCATAACAACAATTGTCGGCCAGTTCATCGAGTCAATACCAGAAATACGTGAACACGTTGGGGTTGCTCTATTCAATAACTCTTCGTTGTCTTCGCGCTCTCTCGAGGTCCCGATGGATGCCCTTGTCGTCAAACCCTCGAAGCGCTCTTCCATCTCCAAGACCTCGCACAGGCAAACGTTCAGGAATGGACAACTTTGGGTTCTTCAAATATACCACTTGTCGAAGATACAATGCTAGGCTCACTATCGCGATCTCGGGTTTACCTGATGTAAGTGATCAAGTAATAACGTTGTATATTTCTCCTGTCTCATGACTAATTACTTCCACAAGCAAATCGAATGTGGATCTCGTGTTCCAGAGCAGCCAACACAGCCAGTGAGTAGGCGTACCTTCAATGTTTATTGAGGCTAATAAAGTCTTTAAATTGTGACGGTTGCCCTTCAGATCACGCTCTCGCCGAGCAGGAGAAGCCGAGACGTACAATTTTCGGTCAATCGGGTGAAACCCAATATGAATTAGCGAAAATCCAGCGCGCCTATTCTTGCGAAAGGGGAGTCGACCACTAGGTCCACGAGCACTACGTACTGGCCATCGTCCAGGTTCATGACTCCTCACGCCAGAGTCGTTTCCAATTTAGACTGAAATACATTGGCCAGGATCGTCTTCGCAGCGACGCGACCTCGCCGACTCGCATTTAGTAGACATGGTGAAGAAGGTAAGGCAGAGCGAGGACCACATGAAATATAAGGAAGAAGGAACTATTCACATAAAATGGTACGATGACAAAACTTCAATGCCGCTCTACGAATAGCGTACTCCGATAACCTGAAGAGAGGTGGGAAAAAGATCGAGCAGGTTCACCGACCGATGCGCCTTCCATACCCGCGAACTCAACCTACTCGCCGTGTTTCCTTCTTTCCCAACCGTGATAATTCCCCAAGCTTTAGCTACGCGCTCTGTTGGACCGTCGCACCGTCTCGGCTTTTCCTGTCAACTGATGGTCCGGGGTTCCGATATATTGCTTTCCGTGCGCTCGTCTCCTCGAATCTTTTCTGCTGGTCTACCCTTTCCTCCTGGAACAAAAGCGTGGCCTTCTGCTGGTTGTGTCTGTTAACAATGTTGTCAACGATGCTCCAAGCAGAGGTTGATGTGTTGAGGAAGCGTTCCACAGCAGCGCCCTCCTCGATCATACCCTTCCAATAATCCACTTTCAAGCGATTCTCTCGGTAATCTCCATCATCAGAGTCAATCAGCTTATCCCACATCGTGGTGGCGAGCAGGACGTTCTTTGCACTTCCGGGACCAGTGAGTTCCTTGAATACGCTGAGATTCTTCTGGGGTGCTCCAGACATCCGCTCGTCGGTGATTGGGTGCACGTACACGATCCCCGATAGTAGTATCTCTTTCTTATATCTGCGCAGGTGTGGTTAATATTGGTCCAGAGGCTCTAGCTCAACATACGTGTTCTTCAGCCATTTGCCAATGAGGTTGAGAATTTGCTCGTCGCTTCTGCTCGAATCGTCAAATCCCGGTGTGTCTACGACAACGATGCGGGATCCGTATGTTGCATGGTCCAAAATACGAGAAGCCTCCAGGTCTTTGGTGACGGACCTGAGGCTCTCTTTAGCCCGCCGCCCTTGTTGACCGGTGAGCGTATCGATTACCTTTTTGACGAATATCCTTAAGGCGTTTTGGAAACCTCGAACTGTTAAGACGTACTTGACTCTTCCCAGTTCCTGTCCTCCCTATGAAACTTTCAAGTTATGGCGTGAGGACGATTATGTACATGATCAAGTTGCAAAACGACCTACGCAATAATAATATCATCATTTTTGTACTTTCGTGTACCGTGACCGATAATTGTTGAGAGCCATCCAGCAGTCATCGATTCCGTTTTGTAAGTGCCCATCGGCAGAGAACTTGACATTTACAAGGAATTAGGATAGAGGAATAGTTTCAAGTTTTGGGGGCCACGAGGAAGCAGCCTGTGATGTCCCAGCGGAAGTCATGCAGCTTTCATTTCACACTATCTGATTCCTCATGTTCCGTCAACAACGCCGAATTTACCGGTCAAGCCAGTGCCTAGCGAATAGAATTCGGCGTTGTTATCAAACAGTGAAATCTGGATCTTCCAATTGTAGCCTAGATAAACCGAATGAATACGAGTTCAAGGTGCCAACGATTAAATAATTCCATACATAGTAACCGGTAACCTGCGACTCGGAAGCTATTTATCTGTGGAGCGACCACCATGATTTCTTCATCGTCTTCTTATGATTTTTAACCAACCGTGCGAGATCCTGCTCTAGCGCTTCCCCCGCGCTCGTCTGCGGCAAACTTTTTTCCTGCTCAACCCTTTGCTGCTGGAACAAAAGCGGTGCCTTCTGATCGTGTTTGTTAACAATATTGTCGACGATGCTCCAAGCAGAATCCGATGTGTTGAGGAAGCGGTCCACAGCTGCGCCATGGTAGA